CAGACTGTCCAGGAGTTGGGGGATGCTTTAGTCCAGGTGTGGGAGGAGATCTCTCAGGAGATCATCCGCCACCTCATCAGGAGCATGCCCAGGCAGTGTAGGGAGGTCATACAGGCACGTGGAGGCCACACACACTACTGAGCCTCATTTTGACTTGTTTTAAGGACATTACATCAAAGTTGGATCAGCCTGTAGTGTTTTTTTCCACTTTAATTTTGAGTGTAACTCCAAATCCAGACCTCCATGGGTTGCTAAATTTGATTTCCATTGATAATTTTTGTGTGATTTTGTTGTTAGCACATTCAACTATGTAATGAACAAAGTATTTAATAAGAATATTTCATTCATTCAGATCTAGGATATCTTATTTTTGTGTTCCCTTTATTTTTTTGAGCAGTGTATATAACAAAGGGAAGTCTTACAAATTAGTTTCAAGATATTTGTCAAAAGGAGCTACTGGCATACAATCCATGCTTCTGACTACATTAAAATCAGAACATGTAAAAGCAAGAGCCTAGGTAATTCCTTTGTAATGAAACATAGAAAATCTTGCTGGAATATTTCAGTCAGTTCCAGAATTCTTGACAGTAGTCATTTCAAACATCAGAAGACTTTTTGCATCTTTTAAGGCAAAATCTTTTTGCATCTTTTAAGGCAAAGTATGAGAAGAAGGCCATTTTTTCATGAGTATCCTGCTACAGAGGCTTCTTTTCAATGATGCAAATTACCATATTTAAGAATAATCTCAGTACAATTAAAGATAAAATAACTCACTCGACATTCTCTGTTTTTGGGATTTAAGGAAACTCATGTAACTTCATTCTACAAAGGTCTGTAATTAATCCAAATTAAGCTTGGCTGTTTTTCTCCTTCACCTATCAGTGTTGAAAACTAGTCATCAAAATAGAATTAGAACTGGTTGGTAACCAAAGAAAATAAAATTGTGTAATCCATAACTTGTCGTCTTTCCATTTTACCCTTTAAACATGTACAGTATATATGCATGCACACACGTGCACATTCTTTTATCAGCAAAATGTAAACTTATCAATTTGTGCATGTGTGTATGCACAAATACTTGTAAATATATATATGTATACACACACACATATACATATATACATACATACACACATACATACATACACACACACACCATATACACTGACAAAACTCTCTAAATTTCTGCTTACACATATTTAAAACTTTCATTTCAAGCAATATTTTAGAGAGTTCACTGCACAATCTGTATAATTTTGTTTCTATTGCTGAATTAATTTCCCAACAAATAGAAATATTCTGGCTCTTTAAATAGGAAGAACAAGGAAAAATAATATTGTTCAATTATATTATATAAATTGTATTTAGAAATTTGAGTTGCAATGACAATCAGAAAATATCAAGCACACAATTCCAAAAGTGTGTTAGTGTCTGTCTGAGAAACAATTTCAAAAGGTTAAATAGGCAAGCCCACTTGCTACAGGAATAAAATATTTGGATTAAAATATCTCAAACCTTTTAAAGATGGTTGATAGTACTTTAATTTTGTTTAAGTCTCTGTAGATACAGCACAGCAATTGTATACAGATCCATCTGTACATAAACAGAAGACTATTTATCTGAACAGATAATCTTTAGCTCCATCACTAACACATTAATGTCTGAAAGGGCTAAGGTTCACTTAAGAAAACCTGACCATCTTTGATAGGATTTTACATAAAGAATATGTGGCCCTTCTATAAGAATCATTGACTTATTTTTGTGTCAATTGTAAAATAAAATGTTGATAAAGCTTTGCATTCCTCAGTAGGATAGGTTTGATTATCTCAAATTGGTTTTGCGCTTAGCACAGAGATCTGCTTAATTGAAGATAATTGTTCCAAATCTGAAATATTTTTACCTATGATCAAAACATAAAATTATGTGAAATCCCCATTGGTGGTCCATGTGTGAATCTGTTTCAAATTCAATCTTATAAAATCAATGAAGTGATAATGAAAGCATTTTATTTGCAAATATAGTCTCTAATAAAATCATGCATAAATTCTTTTTAAATATAATAAGTAAGTTAATCATGCTTTAAAGTTAAGATTTCACCTTTACTTATGTCATATCATTTTTTCAACACTATTATTAAAATTAGGTTTATTTATCACACTTAGAAACTGCCCATCTTTCTCACTGAAGAACATTAATTAACGTCATTTGAAAGGGTTTTTTTTTCAATTTACAACTTAAGAAAGGAACTGAAGAAAAGTTAATCTTATAGCTTGTTAAAATAGGAAATGTTTGCCAAGGAACTTGATTTTGAGAAGGAAACCATAGCAATTAATTTAAGCTTTCACATCAATTGCAGGAGAATATACTATTCCATAATTATGGATATTTTTTTCATTATTAAACCAATGATGAATATTAAAAGAAAAGAATTAAAATTACAGCGTGAAGAACATATAGAAGATCTGGAGAAAATATCATGTTATAATAACACTAAAGGACGATTTGAAATTATAGGATGTCTTTTGAAGTGAAACAAATAATAATGGATGATAGATTTATTGTGATGCTAATGACAACGGATGGTGCCTTGCCTTTCTTCAAATAGGACAATCATGGCAGATAACCATTTAAAGAAATTTTAAAAATGAATTTTAAATTCAGATAACATTATTAGTAGTACCACAATATTTGACTGAAGAAAATGATCTTACCAGATTTCCAAGACATGATGCTCTCCACACCATGCTGATTCTTCCTTTCCCTAGCCAGTTTGGTCTAGTGGTTTCACCTACTGGGCTAGTGAGAATTCTAGTCTCACCTCAGGCATGAAAACAAGCTGAGTGATCTTGGACCACTCCCTCTCTTTCAGCCCAACCCACCTCACAGGGTTGTTGTGGGGAAAATAGGAAGAGGAAGAATGATTAAGTAAGTTTGCCACCTTGAGATATTTATAAAAAATAACAGCAGCAGGATAAAAAAAGGTAAACTGCACATATTTCTCAAAGGTGTAGTGTGCCAATCAAGTGCATTAATCAACAATACAGTGTTTCCAGTATTGACGATTTACACCAAGTTCACTAGCATATCTACAGTGTAACTGGATCAAAAGTCCAAGAAACAAGTTTAATAACCATGAGCTCCAAGAATGGAAAAACAAGAACAAATAAACTTATTTGGGAAGACATGAATAGTAACTACCCATATTTTTTAAGAATACAAGAATAGCCATTGTGCATTAAAGAGGATCTGTTAATTGACAGAAGATTTTCCCTGTTCTGAGGTTGCAAGAACATAGAGAAATTTAAAAAAAAAATGCTGAATAAATGCATAAATGTCCTGAAAAGCAATAAGTGATTGATAAGCCAATTCATATATCCAATTTATGTACATGATGAACGCACATTATTGCATAACAGGTTTGCCCTTTGCTTTGCTCCCTTAAATTCATCACTGGAGGCTTTTGCAAATAATTAGCTATTAGCAAACAATGAGGTGGATCAAATGAAGAGATATTAGCCAACCATAAAATCTTTCCATTAAGTGTTCTTTGAAATAAACAGCACATGAATCTTAATACAAATCCGAGCACATTTTAAGGCTTTTTACAGCCACATACTATTCTGGTTTTTTTAGCCTATATTTACCATAAATCCGTCTTCCACTTTCTATTTCTGGCTTAGTGTGATTTAAAATTAGTTGGGTAGTCTTTCTGAGTTTACTTTACTCCTGAGAAGTGACAACTTTCTTGACTCCTCTGCTTCCTGCTCTAAAAAAGCCCCATGGGAAGAGCTTTACTTTATGTTTTGCCTTTAAGTTTTAATTAAAATGTAGGAAGGCTACTGATTGCTGAAGAACAGGATGGATAATGAAAGACATTCACACATATCTTTGGTCACTTTGTGAGGTAAATGCATTAATGCTACTCTCCACCTGACAATTTAACTCCTATTTTCTTCTTCTTCTTTCAGTAGGAGAGAATCAAAAGCTATTTCCTTTCATAAAAATGAGAACAGTTATAAAAGTGGAGAAAAAATGTTGAATTAGCATTAAATTTAGTGGTTGTATTTGCAGCACAAAAAACAAAATGAAATCCTATGTAAGAACCAATTATTACTGTACATGCTGTAATTAGGCTATCCTGCTAATACCCAGCAACTACAATCTTGAAAATTCAATTGTTGGCTAACAGATTGCTTGACTCCTATATTTCTCAGTTTTGCTTTGCTTTAAAGTTGCCTTCTATACATCTTACTCCCTTTCTTATTTATTTATTTTTTTCCAATTAAAACAAAGAAACACTGATAGTGGTAGCTGGTTTTAAGAATACAAAGTGACTGTAAATTTGGATGAGAGACTACATACTTCTCAGAATCACATTCCAGAATCACTGACAAAAACACATCATGCCATTTATATAGACTATAAATGACAATTAATTACTTTTACTATTTATTACTTCCCATGTTCTCTTAAAAACCGCACTATTCTTGATAGTAATAGTTAATTGTTTTTGAAGGTCCTCTGATTGCACATCACTAGACCATCTAGATGGAATGCCACTTCCTGTTAAGCACCATTTTTATTATTACTATTACTATCATCATCATTTTTATTGTTGTTGTTAGTATTATTTTAGATTCCAGTGCTGATTGGAGATAATAGAGAAAGACATTAGGCTCTCATATTATGCTGATTTTACTAGAAAAATTCATCTATTTCCCCATTCTGGAAAACATACTCTTTTTCACCAGTATATCTACAAACTTAAATAAATGTGGAAAAAGGGGAGGAGGAAAGACAGATGGACACTGGCTTTTCAATCAATCTATTTGTTGTTGTTGCAATTCAGGGAGGGTTCTCTCTCTATATTTTTACACTGGGATCATGGATTGACAATCTCCTGTTCTAAGTAACTACTGGCTAAAGGAAAAGATATACATGCTATACATTTTCTTTCTTTCTTTTTTTTTAAAGAAAGAGTTAAAAAGTGCTATACTTACAACTCTCCGCTTGGTAGTCTGGTACAAACTGCTCATCATTATCAGGTACCTGAGCTGAAGATAATGTAAGGGAGAAAATGAAAGAAATAATTTATTAGAAATAATAATTAGGAAAAGAAGGAAAATATTTCTAACTCTTAGGACTAGCCAAATCATGAAGAAAATCCACTTTACACAAAACAAAAATATTAAATGATTATGGAAATCAACTGCAAATGAAGATGCACTGAGAAATTCTGCACTTGAGGTTACATTAATCAGCATTGAGCACAAGCATCCAATATACTGGACATACCTCACAAGAGCCAAACATTTATTTCAATAAGTAGGGTGATGTATTAGTCACTAAATACCTTCATGCTTAAACTAGGTAGAGAACAGTTAACCTACATTAGATTTATGGTTTTATCTTGCCAGCATTTAGGAGGTAGAATTGCATTTATTTAGCAATAAATTAAGCTAATATCATTAAGGCAACCAACCAAGGAGTCAAACAGAATACAGGCTGAGTCCCATTGAAGCTTTTCAGGCTTTTACCTTAGTACTCCTGTAACATTTGAGAGGAAAAATAACAAGGAAGAAAGTGGGGAAGACAAAAAAAAGATACATTTCCCTTTCAATTTATGAAATTCTAGAACATATCTAAATTAGTGTTATAAAACATTTCATACTCTTCACTCCAAAGCAATTATCTTTTTTTAAAAAAAGCACATTTGGAAATCTGTTTCCATACCTTTAAGAGAGTTTGTTGTTAAACACTTACAATTTGGAATGGGATTATAAAAGGTTTCTTGCGTGATATGTACAGTAGTTAATAGGATTCAGAACTCATTCATTAATATAGTAAAATATCATCCAAAATACAAAATATAGTTACAAAATATATTCCTATACTATGTCCCCAAATTCTTGAATATAATTAAAAGTTTATCTTTGTGTGCGCTTGACTAGAATTCAGTCATTTTTAGCCCTGGGAAACTTACCTTCTAGCTAATGATCCTAGACATAGCAAGATAAACCACAGTAAAGCTCCTTCTTTAGAAAGTATTCTTTTTAATTTTATTACTTCAACTAGAATTCACTTTAAGAGCTAGTAATCAACCAAACATTTTCACTGCTATGAATGTATTACTAGAATGAAAGCATTACCTGGATGTCCAAATAAAATTAATGCATACATCTAAAGTTAACTTATAGCAAATAAGTTTATAAACTAACTTAACTATAAGCTAACACAGCATGTACTAGTACATATTAGCAAATATTTTTAAAAACAAAATTTTAACTACTACACTTCCATATTTATTTCTTCTTTGATAGTTTCCTATTTCTTTTCCTTATTTAAAGCTTATTGGACAATGGTAGCATTAAATGGTAAAGCCAATACTGTTTTAAGCAGGCTGTCTAATTTAAAATCACTATAGAGATGTTAATATAAAATTGTCCACATACGGAGAAACCTGAAAGAGAGTGATTGAAGTATTTCTGAAGTTGTGATCCAAAAAGCTTTAACTTAAGTGAAGAACTAGGGCTAAACTTATTTTCTTTGAACTTATTGCAACCTAAAGCCTCCCTTTAATTCCAGAATCAATCTGTCTTGTAGGACAAAAATGTTGTTTGGAAACAAGATTTGTCTAAAAGCATCTTGGCTAATAAACAATGTTGGTATCGTTTCAAATTTTCAGATCACATCATAAGCACAAATGCTTATTCATAATTCTGTTAATTGGACATCATTAATAGTATTCTGCTCAAAATGTATTAACATATAAGCAACATCAACTATGCAACCACTGTGAATTATTCTATTTCCATACGCAGAGAGAACTGCTAATAGTTTCTCTTTTCATGGTGCAAAAAATTATCCTAGAGTAACAATTACTCCTAATTGTGAAAATATGATTTCCACACTCTGCACTAGCAGTTTATATGAACCACTGGAACTGCAATATGAACAGATGATAAGCTAAAGATATATTACGGATTTCTCCTATTTATTCTCCATTATTCACATAGAAGGCTGTCCACTGTAATTCACATTTCTCCTTTTAAAATCTAGTGGAATAGCAGGTACAATTAACCATTATTCCTTCACTATAATAAACTTCAATGTTCTTAATATCCTCTAAGGAATTTGTCTTTCAGGAAGTCAGCATATCTTTCTGGCTTCACAGGAACTCCTTGAGTTAGATTTTGTATGACTTTATCACATTAAAAGCTAGATTTTTCATATTAAGCTGCAACATTTAACTCCTGTTCTCACTGATTCATGAGCCAAAAAAGAAAATGAAAACTTATCAGCAGCACTCTACAAGTTGTTGCATTCAGATCAAAAATAAAGGATTTTTTTCTGCCCTGCATATTTAGCAATGCAAAAGTTCCTAGACTAATTGCTAAAATGTGTAAACATATTTAAACAGTTGGAGAAAAATATTCTGAATGATTAAACCTAACTTTTAGAATGTCACCTGTAGCTTCAATATCACTATGTTGAAATAAAGACATTTTAAAATACAAAGCAAAACAAAATTATGAGTCACATAAATGAGTGGAGAAGTTTTAAAGCATACACCCTTCAGCAAATATAATTCCAATGTACCTGCATTTTTTATAACTTAAGCAAGTCCCATATTCTCAAATTGATTAGTGGCATACTTATTATTGTTCTTATAAATAAGAAAAGACAAAGTTTAAACTTTTGCTAAATACTACATTATCACACCACCTCTTTAACAGCTTTATGTTCTTTGCTGTGTAATAGTGACAGCTATAGCTGGTTTCCACAGACATTTCCCCCCAAAAGAAGAAAACTAGTTTATGCTACTTTATAAAATAAAAGCAAAGTTATAGCATATTTTAAATGTGGGATTACATCTTAAATCTTGTACATAGCAATTTATGAAATTTTGTCCAGTTTTAAATTGACATATTTGTTTTCTTCTGAAGTAAACAATCTATCTTGAACAAGCACTCAATGGCTACAATTAAGTAGAAATAAAATATCCTTCATTACTAGAAACACAAAAAAAAAATAGAAGAAATATTAAACATTCAAGATACAAAACTCAATAAGCTTCATTTAGATAGTATCAGCCCATCATGATTTCTCTACTCTTCAAATAAAATCAAAAGCAGTAGTTGATTAATGGTAAACTTGTCAGATACCTCACAATATCATCCTGCAAAGAAATTTAGGTTTCCACACTAAAGTTGACTACCTGCAGGTAGTCAACTAAGTATAACTATACCTTAAATCCCCCAAACAAAATAACTCTTGTTTGGGAGATTTAAATATACCTTAAATCTTTCAAACAAGAATGTGGTAACTGCAGTTTTAGAAACCAATCATTTCTTTTTTCTTGTCACTGCTACAATTCAGTCAGCCTTTCATAAAAGGAATAGTAGTTTTTAATCTGGTGACAGAGCAGGAGGTGGGATATATCAATAAAAATGACTGAATTTGGATTCTTTCGGGGACAGAATATTTAAATATCTACAAAGATCCCCTTTGCAGTAACATTCTAATGGACTACTTAAGACTAGGAAAAAAGATAAAAAGAAGAAGCACTTTAAGGGGTAAGAACAGGGGACCATATAATAATGGGAACAGCTTTTTCAGGTTTATTCTGCAAGATGCCATTAATTGCTCACTTTGGAGAGAGACATTTCTGTTGTTCGATTCTGCTTCCTTCTCCTGTCAACTTCTCAAATCTTCCCTGAGTGAAAGGTAACGAAGTGTTGGTTTAAAAAGAACTCTACGGAGAGATTTTAGTTTCAAATACCACTTATTTACTTTTAAATAACAAAAAAATGCTGGGATTTATTCAGAAATATGCTCTTTTGATATAATGGCACTGACACTGAAACACACAAGATCACACTCTAATAAGATATTGACATTTTCAATATGTACCCAAATGCTTCAGATTTTTTTTAATATTAAGAAGCAAAGGCAACATCTTTAAGATTTTGTGATTAAGCTGAGCAACAGCAGAATGGAACAATTTAATTTTTTCAAACGTAATCACCCTCTCCTAAAAGTATGTGGGGACAGCAAAAGAAGTTGAGTTGATATTTAATTAAAACCAGCCCTATCCACTGTAACAATGACCTGCAGCCAAACAAGGCAGAAGATGTATGAGTCATTCTTTCTGTCAGTGAATGAGACAGCTGATCTCTTAAACAATTATTCAAGAGAAGCAGTCAGAACTGGAGTCCTGCCTTCATTCACAAAAACAGAATTCGGCAAGAAACATGTGGCCTCAACCACAATCTTTTCTTGTCACACTCCCAGTAAAAAAGAAGAAAGAATGAAAGAGAGACAGAAGAATAAACTTGTACTTTTTATATAAACACATCAATTTCATTGCTTTGTCTTAGGACACTACACAGGCCCTATTAGGGAAACAAATACCATAAATGAGATGTCAAAAAAAAAGATGGTCTCAGAATGGAAAAAAGTTTCAGGCTCCATAGGAGATGCACAGGAAACACAGAGTGAGAAAATGCACAAGGCAAATTAGCCAAAGCACTATTTTTACTCCTTTTATTTTTAATCAATTCTACACAGACTGTGACAACATTTCCGGTAGCATTCCTTTTTTCTACTCTGGCAGTCCATAAGCCAAGTTGCCAAAGATTTCGAACATCAAGGAATTCTCCTTTGAAAGGAAAAGAAAAAGAGCTACACAAATTAAGAACAAGTACATGTCTCACTGTTGTATAAACAAGAAATTATTTACCAGCTAAAATATAAAGAAACGGTGCTTTTTCCAATTAATTTTCTAAAGTGAATCATATAATAAGGATATTACACTTTGCCTTTTAAGATATTAAAAAGCACACTATTTCCAAAATTCTACACTTTCAGTCCAAATACTTTTTAAGAACTTTTAAGATGCAAAAGTGATTAATAGAATCCCAAATCCCAAATAGTTTTGTCAATACAGCCTGATCTTAACATTTCAGCCTAGGAAGTAGATAAATTATTATTTCTTTGATTATAGAAAGTTGTCACACTATTTTATAATGAGCAGAAAAAGCTCTTAGGATCTTCGTGCATATAAAAGCATCGTAAATGAGCCTTCCATAAGCCTAACTTTGTATCTTTGGTATCTTCATGACATACTCAGATCTCCCATCCTCACTCCTTTAGACGGCTTCATCTTACAGATACTTTCACATTATTATATGTTAGGGATAACCCTGTAACTTTTTACCCCCCCCCCCCGCCCAAAATACCTCGGGAACTTTTACAGTACTTTGTATTTCTTATTAATTCTTTGTACTGCAAAATTTAGTCCCTTTCTTTAAGGGCATATTTAAACACTATATAAAACAGGAAAGGTTCTTATAACACTCTTGATTGTGAAGATGAGGATAAGAAACTAACATTCTGATTTATGGCACTTCAATATCTTTTTCTATCTTGATCAAAATAAAAAACGGCAATTACATTTGAAAGGGAAAAATAAAATAAAGCCAGAACAGACACAACAGGTAAACAGTGCCAAGAACATGAAATTTTCACAAAGTTCATTCACCAAACCTGGCCATTACTTTCATTGGCGCCAGTATATTTTCAAGAAATCATTTCTTTATCTGAATCTCTTGTACCACCCAGAGGAAAAAGGGACGATAGATAGATAGATAGATAGATAGATAGATAGATAGATAGATAGATAGATAGATAGATAGATAGATAGATAATCTATGTATGTATGTATGTATGTATGTATGTATGTATGTATGTATGTATGTATATAACTGTCCTTTACGTATATAACTGTCCTTTCACTAACAGATTATTCTTTCTAGTTGACATTTTGTTAAATCAATACTAATACAACAGTTTTAGTTCCTATAGCATTTACATTATACTTTATCCATCATTTTTAATGTTTTGAATATGAATTTAAAACATTCTTCTTTTTCAGCTTATTTTTCTTTCAAACCACAAACTGTTTCCATCATAACACAGCAGGCTTTCAGCACCATCAGTCTTTTCGTTCCCTTTTTTGTTACAGAATAAACAGCAGGAGCTTCCGATAATGAAAAATACATTAAGTTCATATTTGAGCTGATTATTTGAAATCAGTTGTTAACTTCTATTTGTCAAGGGCAATTTAATGCAATATCTACAAATTCAATAGGGGAGTTTCATCATTTTCTGGGCCAAAATGACATCACTATGAACTACATACATGGAAATTAACAGATTTAGTTGAAAGTCCCATTGATTTTGAATAAACTTTCTATGAATACACAAATGAAGTACTGGAACCTGAATAACCCAGGGTTATTAGCAGATGATAGTAATGCTTTACTAAATTAGGAAATTATTAACAGTCCTTCATTTTTTTTCAGATGCTCAGATCCCAGTGGTTTTATTTTATTTTAAGTCTCAATACAGTAGCAGCAGCAAATTTCTTCTGAAGGAAAAACAAGTGTTTAAGTCTGTCACACATAGAACAAGAAAGTTTGGTCAAGCATTCTGCTAGGTTCTTGTGCCACTGGATGCAAACCATTTTTGAATCTGACACCCTAGATTTGGCACACACATCACAGCAACCAAATTACAGCACACTACATTACAGCAACCAAATCTGATTCTATTCACCACTGAATTATTTTTCCACCTTCAATGCATATGTAAATGCCATTGTTTCCAATGCCACTTCTGTGAAAAGAGAATAGACTGTTTATGATTACTCATTTTAAGCAACATCTTCCCCAGAAGAATAGGGATACTGATAAATATGCAGTTTAAATTTCTCAACTATCTTTTTTTTCCTCTTTTTTGTGTTCTCATTCTTTCCTATCTAAAAAATATTTCTCTAAAATGGAGATGGAAGGGGGAAGGAGGACAGGATCCTCTGATAACTAAAAAGTGATAATCCATAGTAATTCAGTCAGATGCTACTGTACTACATTAAAAAAAGAAGTGGCAAAATTACGGTGTTAAAGTCACATTCTTGGTTACAAAGCATTATGAAAGCTAACTATTTCACAGAACTGTAACTTTATTAACAATTGTGTGAACATAAATGGACAAAATTTAATCAAGGGATAAACAAACTAGAATCACTTCAAGGCCAATTTTATAAATAATATTGTGTAGATACTTACTACCTACAGAGCATCTCAATGGATTTTTTTTCCTTCTTGGAAAGTGCACAAATAATTATTAAGTTATAATTGTGATCTGTAATCTTAGGTTACAAAAACTTTCTCTCAACTATTACATTTCACATGAACTCAATTAGTTTTCATGTTTAGGATTTGATTCAACCAAGTCTTAAGCTACACTGCTGGTCACTGGATACATTACTTAATTATGTTGGTAGAATGCTTTAAACAGCATATATCTAAGGCAGGAATTTAATTTTTCATCTGTTTAATTGGTAATAGCATAAAGCATTTTCTGCATGCTAACTCAGAAGAATGTCCTATTGCTTTCAGTAAAACTTCTGAGTACAGGAATATAGCCCATATTTTAAATTTTCTTTTGTTTGTGCATGTGTGCATGTATATACACACATATAAACATGATTAGCAAATGATATACAATTCATTTTTGTTCATGCTTCCTTTTCAGAAACATTTTAAACAATTATCTAATTGCACATTAAAAAACCTGTATTTAATCACAATTTACCAAATTAAAATATGCATTAACACTAAAACTCATTGAATGAAAAAAACAACATCAAATGTTTAGTGCTTTGATAGTGCTTCCAAGTTATCAGGATAAGCTGAAAGTTCAGCATATGTATAGATCTTTACTGGAATTACTTTACACAGCTATTCTTGAATTTTAGCTAAGACCTTCAATATTTATACTGAGGTTTACCACCTATTAATCATACTTAATACTTTCTTGCTAGATACTGTACATAAAAGCATGGCAAAAAGATAAATTAATCAGAATTACATATTTGGCAAATTATATAGGGTAGTGACAAAAAGGTAGGCAGCCTGTATGTACTGTTACAATACTTCTCTTTTCTCTGTTAAGCAATTACATGAAATTATCCCTTTCTAAATGAAATAGACTGTTCACTCAACAAACAATGCACATTAAGTAAGAGTTAAAAAATATTAAAACCCCAGTGAATACTACAAATGCATAAGCAAGCAAGAGCACATATAGACAGAGAACATAACACCTAGTTCTGAATAGGCTTAATTCAATTTTCTGTTTCTCGATTACATTTTTTTTTAACAAAAAGAATCTGATCCAAGTTATCTTCATGCTGGAAAAAACCCAAACATGTCAGGAGCATCAACTTTTTAGTTAGAAAATATACTTTAATTAGGATCAACTTCCTATGCTTTTGCAAAACTTCTCTCAGCATCTCATCCTGCTCAAGTCAAAATCCACAGTAATTTAACTCCAGCATTAAAACTATTTCCTTATAATCTGTCAACTGTGTTAAAATAAACTACCCCAGAGTTAAGGAAACACAAGGGGGTGCGAGAGGAAGGAAAAGGGAAACAAATAAATTTTCTCGTTTTAAAAGCCTTGCAAAATAAATATCTATAAATTTGAAATAATGGTTATACAAATCCATCGTTTCTTAAGTAGCCAATACACACCTAACGTTCGGTGTTGCGAGCAAGCAGGGAAGAAGACACTTTCACTTAAATCTTGAAGCATCCCGTCCTGATGAACTCAGAGAAACTATATTCTGCCATCAGAAAAGTACTTCCTCCAGAACACTAAACAATTGTATGCTCTGCTCTGAAGGAAAGAGCGAGCCCAGTTCTGGCTGTAGGCAGTCTCCTGAGGTACAATAATATAAACCTGATCAATTGCAATTAAAATCTGAACAGAGGCTTGGAACGTGAAGTCTTGGTGCATTAGTTCTTGCCAAAAGCAGATGTGATTGTGGGCTGGAAGCAATTTCTCCTGGTAATTTGTGATGACATTGGATAGAGCAGCCCCAGAGTCCCCAAAGACAAACTCATCAGAGGCTCTAATGTATGCATGACACATGAGGTGGCTCTTTTAGAGCTCAATTAATTGGGCTGAACATTAAGACAGCAAGTTCAGGACTTTTTTTCCCCCTCCCTTTCCCCCTCCCTTTTTCTTCCAGAGTGCTTTTTTTCTCCCTTTCCTTTCCTTCTTTCTTTTGGGTAGAAAACATTTTTCCTTCCTTACCTTCTGCAAGCCATGTTTCCTGTAATTGGCTTAGATCTTGAAACAGTTCTACGAAAAGAATAAGAGATACAGAAAAGGGGTCAGCAGCTCTGTAATGTCCAAGTAATACTAAATTAAGCAAAGATCTTTATAATTTATTGTATTTTGTCTACATTTGCGTAGATTCAAATATTAGTTTCTGCATAAAATATATGTGGTATTCATCACAATCAACTCCAGTAATAACTTACACATAACAACTGACTTTATTGAGAGAACCCATAAAAATCAATTGATCTGATTTCTGAATGACCAAGACTATTTAAAGAGAAATTCCTTGAACTTCTTTATGCATACCCACTCAAAGACAATTCTATAGATTTCAATGGGGCTTACTCCAAAATAACTACATCAGATTATAACCTAACATTTTTTAAAGGAGTTCTCAACAATGAAATGCAGGTTTGCCCATATGTTTGGTATAAAACATTATAAAATGATAGAAATAAAACCCAGACAAATTGCCATTGTAAAGTAAGGTTTTTACTTGCTTTGGGGAAGAGAAATTTGCTAGTTAATGTATTTAATTAATAAATCCCAAACATAACCAAAATGGAAAGCTGATTGGTAATTTAGTCAAATCAGTTCTCTGCAGGACAAATGCATGAATTCATGAAGCTCTTGGTTTGGTTTAGTTGCTATTTAAGTCATCATGTCCACATTAACAGATCACTTTTTAAACAGAATTTTTAGAAGGGTGTAAGGGCTTTCAAAATTATTGCAGATCACCCTCTCAGAAGTCTTTACAAAGCTACCAATCCAAGTTGGATAGAGTAGCTTTATAATGCAGAATGAATTTCTCTACTCTGAACCATGTCCAATAAAGAACATTGGTGCTTTGCTTAGAGTTTGAGAGAAGCATGTGAGGACTATTTTGCCCCCAATAAGTTGCTGTTTCAAGCAACAAGCTATCAAGGCAGCATTGTTGCAGAATCAGTTGTTTCCCACAATAGCCTTTCCACAAACTTATAAAGTGTTAGATTCACACGGTATGATGTTAAAAATGTAATGAACCATTTTCTTGTGAGTGGTTCATAGCTGGTTACTATAGAAATTACAAACCAAAGAGTAGGGATGGAAAAAGTAGCAGGAAGAACTCTGAATCTTGTTCTATTTTGTCTCTAATGGTTAAATCAAAACTTTAGCATCTCTCTGAAAAACGGTAAGCACTCCCAAAACAAATGACAATGGGATGGGAATGTGCAGAGGCCTACAGGTGAGTAAATTGTGTGCACCCTTTTACTATCAATTCTTGCCAAATTTTCACATCCCTACCATGTGGCAATACCTAACATAGAGGGTGAGTCACTGAAGGTACATCAGCCTAGCAGTGAATTGCTTTTGTCACCTTGTGTCACATCATGAGATGTGGTTTTCTTGTCTCATTTCTATAAATAGATGTAGACAAAACTCCAGGAAGATGCATGAGGAAGGAAAAGGAGAGAAAAGCGTAGACATCAACATTTAAAAAGCATATTACAGGGTTTGTAGATATAAGAGGGGGAGCCAGTAACATTTATTCTCCCCACCCCCTCCTTGCGTAACACATATCCTCACCTTCTGAGTCATGAGCCAGATCTCTGTTAATGAATTTTCTTTTCCTGACATTTGCTGGTCGCTCATTACAATTTCTCCCACAGAAATTCTACAAATAGAATAGAATGGTTATTTTAAAAGGAAAAAGGGGAAGAAGTTAGATATCAAGCAATATTAGCAATAGGTTTTAAATGTTAAGACTACGCAGAAAGCTTAACGCTTCCCTACTGATCTTATCACTAATTTCAAAATAGAATTACTAGAATTAAGCAAAAGAATATATTTAAGTTCAATCCACCTACTGGAAACATATGTCCATATAGACACCTATATAGGAAGGCAGGGATATAGATGTGATTATTAATTTTGGCAACCTAAAGTTCCAACACCTACCAAGGATATTTCTTTAAAAGCCAACTTTTTATTGATGTTGGTTGGGAGACTGACATTATGCTTTAATTTTTAATTCTTTATTTGTCAAAGTCCTTTAAAAGGAGGAAAACTTTTTTTTCTTTAGGGGACTTCTAAGATGACTTATAAACTTCTAAAACTGCAACAATTATGATTTCTTTCTTTTATAATAATGAGAGGAAAGTGTTGTTTTTTTCCTCAAACCAAAATGGAATGTGGGGAAAAGTGGAAATTTATTGAATTAAATGCACATCTCATTACAAAGTATAAATTTTCTTCCCTTTACTTCCATCCAAAAATAAAACAACAAAAGAACCCAGAACAATTTTCCACATAAAAGCTTTTGCTTTCTCCCCTTTTAACTGCAAATTGCACCCTCCCACCGAGAGATCCAACAACTTAGGAGCTGATCACTCACATTGGTGACCATGTAAGGCACTTGCTGGTCATAAAATCCATCCATTCTGATGACTTTAGCGTAGTATTTTTATTATTATTTCCTGGACATTGGATTTAAGAGAGAGTTCCTCCAGATGCAGCCTTCAAAGAGCCTTTAAAAAAACGAGAACACAAGATGGCTTTTAGAGTTTTTTTTAAATCATGAATGAACTGCCTGAATTTGCATATCTAATGATCCTCCAAGAGTGCCATTCATAAAAACACACGCATCGCTCCTTCTCTGCTGCCTTCCTCTGGGTTACAAGCAAGAGCCGGAGAGGATAGCAAGAGGATGGAAAGGATTTCGGGGGAAAAAACAACAACCAAGAAATCAAATCGCGAGCAAAGCTGGCATGCCCGCTTTGGTCCCTGGAGCGATCCCATTTGTAAACGTGTGCACAACTAGTAATGGCGCACGATACAACTCGCGTTACATCTAACGGGAGAGAAGAGAGGAGAAAAAGAGAGAGAGAGAGAGAAGGCAGAGCTACCTTCTCCTTGCAAACCACAACCACGTAATCGCCGGAGCAACAGACAACAAAGTTGCTGTTAAAAACCCACCTGAAAGTACAGCAAAGACGATCGGATGCGCGCGCGCATACACGCGCACCAAAACAAAAAGTCCCTACAAATGTAATAACATTAATTATTTCTCCCAGCACTTCTCCTTTCAAGCGAAAAGCGCCACTGACAGGACGCTACATCCAGTGGTTTTTCCTCTACTTCTCCTCCAGGGGCCTCTAGTCTAAACCGAGGGATCTCCGTAGCCCATTGGCTAACCGCGTCTTTAACAGGATCAGATTTCTGACTGTCAGTCAAACTGCCTCTCAAAACACCCTCCCTCCACCCGAGGAAAAAGGGAAAAGCCGGATTCTCCCGGATTCTGAAGGGGATTCGAGGGATCGTTGTTATTCCTTAATTTTATCTCTCTGCGTGTTTGTGTCCGTCTTTCCCCCCAGCTCAAACGCACGCAGCTGTTCTGCAAAGATTTGGACCGGTGCGAGACTCTGTCACATAGATGCGGTGCCCATGGCTTAATACCGCCGCTAATGCAATTTGAAGACAATTTCCCCCAGTGTGCCAGTAAAGGAGACCCAGTCAATTTATTTCATTTTGATGTGGCTTTTTTCACAAAACGCTGTTCTCCAATCACAGCCCACCTTCAGAACGTTGCAAAATTCAGCTACCATTTTCCATTGCTTTAGAATTCATATACATAACTTACTTTCAAGGATGAGATCAAATATTGAAAATCCTATCAATTCCCTGCAATTTCCAATTTCATCCAAAAACGTCATCACCCATACACAGACTAAAGTGATGCTACTGGGAATTAATTTATGTTACTCATTAATTAATCTTATTGTAAAGGCATGAATACCCAGACTATATAAATTTAGTGCTTAAAATGATCTGATAATTTGATTGGAATATAAAAATCTTTTCCTGAGCCAAGTTTTTGGACTCATATTTCAGGAACATGTATATTAATTACACTTTTCTAGGATAAATATATAATCTCAGTCAAACTAATAGAGGGACACAGGTGAAGTATAATTCACTGAATACATAAAGAGCAATTGGATTCACAACATTTTCACCTAAGAACTTATGACAGTAAGTTTTCAACTGCTACATGAAGCTTTTTCTCTTGCACTTTTCAGAATTAGAAACTTTAATAATTGTTGAGGTTGTCTACATTAAGCTTTCCAGTTCAAAGCATCCTTTTTATTTTGTTTTGTTTAGCATCTGCTGCTTTGAAAGCTGTGCCTCTGCCTACATGTGTATATACTACCAACTGGCACCTTGGCAAAGGAAAGTGATGGTTTATGTATTTAATTTATTTTATTTGTAAATCGCTTACAAGATAATAGGTATAAATATAAACATGAGTAAGAATACATGAAATAGGTATGAATAAATGGATACAAAAGGACAGGGATGGTAGACATTATTGTGGAGTAGGGGTTAGAGGATGTAACAGCAGAGTCAGGTAGTACGTTCCAGGCATTGACCACTCCTGCTGAAGTCGTACTTTCTGCAATCAAGTTTGAAGCGGTTTACATTGAGTTTGTGTCTGTTGTGTGCTCTTGTGTTGTTGTGGCTGAAGCTGAAGCAGTCATTGACTGGTAGGACATTGTAGCAGATGATTTTGTGTACTATGCTTAAGTCCAACCCTAGACAACATAGTTCAAGGTTGTCCAAGCCCAAAATCTCAAGCCTGATGATATAGGATATTCTATTGTGAGCAGAGGAGTGTAGTACTCTTCTTGTGAAATACTTCTGGACTTGCTCAATTGTATTAATGTCCAATATACAGTGCGGATTCCAGACAGATGAACTGTATTCAAGTATTGGTCTAGCAAAGGTATATATGTCCAAGTTAGCAATTCAATATTTCCAGAGGAGAAGCTTTGTAAGATTAGATTTGCAACTCTTAATGCCTTTTTGGCAATGCTGTTACAGTAAGCTCTAGCACTTAAGTTGTTAGATATGAGTACACCAAGGTCCTTGACAGAGTGAGGATCATCAACAAGAACATGTACTTACATATCCACAGAGGTAACCAGGGACCCTTCCTGAAGCATCCAAGAGAGCTTCACAAAGAATAGGCTGCTTTCATGTTTCAAGGGGAGGTGCTTCATCTTTCCAAAGATGCTTTAATAAGTATCAGGTGCAAATGTTTTGCCTTGCTCTACTAGATAAATATCAGGAATCTGCTGTGTGCCAAAAGGAATTGTTATTTCCCAAAAGTCTGATTGAAGCACTTTAATAAAAGATTAATGTCTTCTTGATTTTAAGCAGTGGAATTAAATTGTTGCTGTATTTCATTTTGCTTAAAGCAAGATGTTGATTACAGTTTTAGTCTATCTTTATATTTGATCATTTCAAAATGATGAACATACTTTATATGCCTGCACCTTCGGTTTTCCCCACAATAATAACTTCGGGTTGGGCTCAGAGAGAGTGACTGGCCTTAATGTACACAACAAGCATCCATGACTAAGACAGGCCAAAATCTCAGTTTCCGAGTTTTTAGCAAGCACATTAACAGTGCAGCAAACTCTATGATGGCTAGTAAAGCACATTAGCCATACAGTAGTGCTTTGAACTGAAAGATCTGTGACACAAATCATCTCTTGAATGTGTTTGACATTTTTGACAGCATGAAGTAGGCTGTGTCTCCAGTAACTTCCTGAAGCAGAGAACATTTCACATGCCATATATGTGTATGTGTGTGGGGGTGGGTGGGTGGGAGGGGAGATAAAAGATTGTTTGCAGTGCACAAATAGAATTAGGATTTCTGTGATGATTTAATTATGATTGTGATGTCACTTACCCCCCACTTCAGATGCTGATAGGTATATCTTCCACTGTTATTAATTATAGTTAAAGGAGCCAACAGGTTGGCTAGAAACTCCATTAATAAAAGCTAACTTTATTTTTCCATAGTTGGAGTACTGAAGATAGCAAAACAAGAAAAAAAGATTATGAATTTAAATGAAACAAACCCTGTTAATGAAAGGGAAACAGCAGTTAAAATAATTGATACAACCCAGAAGACCTGGCTAAGGAACAAGTCTTACACTAAGGCAGTGTTCCTCAAACACTGTAACTTTAAGATGTGTGGACTTCAACTTCCAGAATTCCCCGGGCTGAAATAAATGACCCACTGCTATTAACTTCTCAAAATGAATATATAGTACAGGGGTCCCCAAACTTGGCAACTTTAAGACTTGTGGTCTTTAACTCCCAGAATTATCTGAGAATTCTGGAAGTTGAAGTCCACAAGTCTTAAAGTTGCCAAGTTTGGACACCTCTGATATAGTACATGGTAGTAATAATCATTCTTATTAAAAGAGGTTAGCCTTTAAAGACAACTTTTAATTTGTAATACAAATGTAACAAATGGTTAGAGAACACAACAAAGTAGTAAAAATAAGTATTAAAACCAAAGTTGAATAATTAAAAAAATATAACAGGACCATCCAGTTAAAATTTCTCAAAAGAAGGCAATTTTAAAAGTTTTAATCTATGACTAAATTTTTTGGAAGGAAATAGTTCTAAGAAAATTCTGTTGTTTTTTTTAAACACATAACATGTGGAAAGCAATAAGCAGAAAGACTAAGTTGGAAAATGGGAAATATGTGGGATAAAATTTTATGTATAGTTATTTCAGACTATAGATAGACCTTGCTTACTGACCATTTACTCAGCAACCGTTCCAATATAAAAGTGCTGATGACCTGTTGAAGATTTTCACAACATCACTCAGTCATGTGGTCACCCTTATAGTCAGTATGCTTTTGGTATGCTGTGCCTGATCTGCATTGTTTTTCTCTCTCTCCCCACCTCTCCACATCTTAGTTAGTTGATTGTTCTTAAATACATTAAAAACAATACAACTGTGCTGGCCCCCAGCCTGAGAGCCATAGATATGCTATGCAAATAGCTTACAGTATTCTCTTGAAATCACTTCCTCTTCAATCTCTCTACTCTTTGAGGAAGAAAAAAAAGTCAAGAGTTTTTTTGAAGAGATCTCTCCTTTGTCTGACCTTCCCACCTCCTTGCAAAGCAAAGAGATTGGGTAAATGGGATTTCAAGAGAATAAGTTGTTTGTGTACCGCACCTATGGCTCCCAATCTCTGGTCTGGGGTGTGATCACATTGGGTATAGTTAGTGTTCACAAAACAGTAAGCAGGCACTCCAGCATTCCAAAGGGTGGGAAGTGGTTAGGAAGCAAACAAAAGTAGAAGGCATGAAACAGACTAGCCTTGTTTCTTTCCAGTCTGCAGGCACAAAGTTACATGATTTCTCACATAGCCAGTGCTTCACTTAGTGTCAAAATTGCGATTTCCAATTAGCATCATTAAGATTACCAATAAGCTCTGTTGATGCTGATTCTTGATTCTGATTGGTTTTACATTTTACACCAAGTCATTATTTCCAAATACAGTTTGGTGGATTAGGCACAATGACTAAGTTTACATATAACACTATATCAAAGTAATTGAATTTACATAGTACTCTGAACAACGATTGTTTACCTCTAATTTGATGATTATTCCATAATGGCTGAATTGGTACAAAATACTAAAATGTACTGTATTAGCTGAATTCACATATTCAAATAGAGCTTACATCAGTGGTGTGTTTCAAAAAATTTTTACCATTGGTTCTTTACCTCTTCCCTCCCACTTATAGCAAAAAAGGTTTTAGTTTTTGATTCCAATGTTCAGAAATCTTTTATCCCCTTGGCTTTAAGTTTGAAATTTAATTACCTTCTATGCCCAAGCAGGTTTTTCTGATTTCCATCAGCTATTTCCATGGGGAGGGAGAGTGAGAAAAAATAAGTTTCCCTTTCACTTTTCTTCCGCTGCTTTCCAATTTTCTTAGGAAACAATGTATCATTCAAGCAATTAAAATTCCAGGGTATTTAAAAGTTCCTTGTTGTCCCGGTTCAGCCAAAAAACTTTCACTTTCTCCAACTTCCTCCTGCACAATTTTACCTGGCTGCAGGCTTCTTTGTGGTGGCCATTGCTGACCGCCGCTCCACCACCTTGGGAAAAAGGAGTTTAGCCGGCTGATGAGGGGGTTTGCGATACCTCCAAGTCCCTACCCGGATCTCCTCTCTCTTCGGTTGCCTC